TAATTCTAGAATCTCCTCAACTATAATAAACCACCTGACATCTCTTAACATCCCTGCACACACTTCCCTCTACAATTATCTTGTTATATTTATCCATTATTGTCTAGCAGTGACCAGAAGGAGACAACACAAAGAAAATGATCACAGTGTCAATTTGGGGATTGATGCTGCCTCCTAGCCTGCCCCACAAGGGCTATTGTGCTAAATACTACCCTGGTTGGGAACAAACGCTGTAAAGGGGCCCTGGGTTTCTTGTACAAAAACGATACTGGTACATGCTGATCCTGTCAACAACTGGCTTTATGAAACTGTTTATATCTATAACACCAGTGTATTATTTTGTATGTAGACCCAAAAGCAAAAATAGCATGCATTGAAGTTTACCAGTCCTGGTGGCTGCATTAGTTTTTCTCTTTTTAGGCTTGTTTTCCCTTTTAGTTTCACATGGGTATACGGCCAGTAACACACTTCCTGTCTTACCATGGCTCCACTCTATGTAGGGGCATTGGAGTCCCCCTTGGACAGCAGCATTGTCACCCTGTGGAGAGGGAAGTGTAGGTGCACTAGAAGATTTCGATGGGCTTGACTAGCAAATTAAATCTGAAATCCAGCTAATTACTGAGCTTAGGGTAACGGGAGGACGCTAGTTTGTGTCCTCCCGTTACCCTAAGGAGAACTATGGGGAGAAACACTGACCCCATAGTTCTCCTTTAAGCAGTTACCACAATATTAATTGTTTTCCTTTTCGGATAAAGATTTTACATATATGAATAAATGACCATTGTAAGCACCCGTCAGTTTGTTTAAATGGCTTGTCTCATCTCTCTATCTGCCATTTGTGCTGGACAGCTTGGTCTGGTAAAGGAAAGTGAAAAATAAGAGTTACTGTCAGGATCACCAGTTGAAAATGAAGGCAAAAAAGCCTTCAAAAGAATACTAATGCAGAGACCACATTTAAGGACTGGTAAGCTGCAATATAATAATTTTTTTCTTTTTGGTTTAGTTATGTTTTAACATCTCTTGTTTGCCGTGTTAAATATACCATTTAAAGTGTTTTGTTATATTGGTTTGTTAAAAGCAATAAATAACTGTTGATCCTACAAGCAATGTTGGGAGCGACTGACTTCCTGTGCTCTCTGACTGTTCTCAGTATTGTTCACAGTTCTATCGGTGGATTATAGAACACCTCCCCTTTGTCTGTCTGTCCTATGGTGGCAACTCTGCTTCTTTTATAGGTATAGTACAGTGGGTAAGCATTGTCACCCTAGGACAGAAAGTGTGTTAATGGCAGAAAAAGAGCCTGAAAACTAATGCAGACACCACGCCTAATGACTGGTAAGATGGAATATATTACATTTATGTTCTTGGCTTTAGATGCACTTTAAATAGATTAAATTAGAGCTACTGCCACTGCACCTACATACACTGTTAACACTGAAGAAAGATTACATAAGTGCATGATGGCTGGATTGATTGATATCAGAAACTAGTCAGTAGCTTATCTGACCTGATGATATTTATTCATATTTCCCTGTCAGCTCCCTTAAATCTTTTCACACTCTAGATTGCAGAATGGATATAAACAGGTTTCTGACAGTTGTGTTCTCCATGAGCTGATGTTATTTCTTGCATCAGACCTCATTACCATTTATTTTACTGGGTTGCTGTATTAGCCCTAATTATTGTAACATTTTCTGTACTGTCTTGCAGTCATAATATGCTGAGCACATCCTCTATTCAAGGCCTTCAGCATCATTAGGCACAAAGATAGACTCTTTAACGTTCTCTGTAATTTGAAGCAATGGTTGATTAGCGTTTTGTGCCTTGCTGAAAATTCTGCTATCTCAAAAATACGTTTTTTTAATCTGCCTTTTAAAATCCAAGCTGGCCATACCCTGTTAGAATTTCAGCCAATTCCTGTCTCTTGACCCAAAAATCTAACCGTGGATGGCCCTGCGGATAATTGTCAACGCAGTGATGTCACCATGGGCCTTTGTGCTTCTGTATGCAATACAGGCAGATCATGGCTGGTGGGAGGGGCTAGCAGGGTGCTCTATATAGCTTACTGTGAAAACATCACAGCACCCTGCCTCAGTACTCCTCTTAAGAGCCCTTAGACCTGATGCATGCAGTGGACTGAGTTGTGCTGCTATCAAAATGCTTTTCATTGACCAAAACAAATGATGCATAAAGCATGAAAACTAGAGGTGCACCAAAATGGAAGTTTCAGACCGAATTTAAATGTAATTCTTTTTTTAATATCCTATTTTTATTTGGTTTTTTTACTCGACCTTAAAAAAGTGGTATTGGTGCATCCCTACTAGAAATAATAAGCAACTACTTTAGGCATCCCTGGCATACAGAATGCTCTTACAGAGTACTGAGTCGTGGTCACGCTTCACTACAACTGCATGTGAGGGAAAACCCCAACAGTCTTCATGAGGGGTATTTTTTAATCAGAGTATTAGAGGTGCACCGAAATGGAAAATTCAAAACCGAAACGAAACCGAAATAAATTGTCAGGCCGAAACCGAAAATGTTTTTTATTTTAATTTTTTTAATATTTTATTTACTTTATAAACTTTTAATTGTTTTATATTGATTTTTTATTATTTTAATTTTTTACTCTACTTTTAGGGGCTCTGGGGAAAGATCATGCGTCTAAACAGACCCCTGATGTTACCCTTTTAAAATAGAAAAAGAGATTAAGTACACGGAGTCCTATATTTCTTTTTCTGCAGTCCCTGTTATAAATGAACAAGAAGCCTCTATACTGAGTGTTCCTCAGTCCATTTATAAATTGTGGAGTTAGTATGAGTTACTATGGCCACATTCATGAATGAACAGGAAGTCATGTAGAGCACTTCCTGTTCATTCATAATTGGAAACACAGGAAGCATACTATGTTCTTAAAGTAGGCTCGGCCTCCTGTGACAGCTCACAGTTGTCTCCTCCCCACACCACTCTCTGTCCTGATTTGCTTGTCACAGGAGGCCGAGCGGGGCAGTGTGGGAGGAGAGCCCAGCCTCCTGGGACACTGATGATAGCGCCCTCCCTCCTGGTCTACTTGGCCTCCTGAAAGTTTCTCTCCTCCCTGCTGGGCGCTGCTCTTTGTCAGAGGGGAATGTGGACATAGTAACTAGAGAGGAACTAGAGATGCTCCGCATTTTTGGCAACAAAAAGGTACTTTTAAGCATTTTGCCCAAAGTACCATTGACAATCTTACAGTGTTCATATGCGAAGAGGATTTTCCTCACTTCCTATTGTGATTATGGGTCAGGAAGTGCAGGAAAATCTCTACCATGGGACACAAAGAGGAAAAGAAACCTTACAGTAGTTCTTGCACTTCTCAAACTTTATTTTGTTTGTTTTTAACATAGAATCAGGGTCCTCGTCTCTTCCTGTGTCCTGTCCCTGTATTTGTTATTGTCTGTAATTTGCATTCTTTTATCATTTAATGCACAGTGGTGTGTAACAAGTTGGAGCTTTCATAGTAAAGGATAATAAGAACAATAATATCTAGTTGTAATTAAGGTTTATTGCTGTTTTTATTCTGGTATTACTGGCAGTCCAATGTTTTTTTCTAATGAAAGCTGCATATTGTAATGGCAAGTCAGGTGGAAATAATGAGTGTTAGTTTAGTGAGAAAAGGTATTCCTAATTAAAGCATGCTCCTAAAAAGTTTCCTCCTCAGACCATTTTAGATCTTCTACAGGCTAT